CTTGGGAACATTTTTAATCTTTACGTGCTGCTTTCGGTTCTTTTACAATTTTCCCTTCATATTATCTCACTGGTGTACATCACCAACCTGACGCATAATTACGAAACGTGAGTGGTCTCATGCTGAGCCTGCTGACGGTACCGATTAATCCATGTTCATATGCAGGCGGGGCCCTATTGACCTAGAGGCAAAATTTGAACCCAGCCTTCTTAATACCGCGATATATCTCCTTGGTTTATCACAGCAGGTCTCAACCTTTGCCATCAACTTCCAGGTACGTCGCTGTTACTTGACCCGCCTTTCATATGGAGTCACAAATCATCATTGACACCTCGATTCTTGTTAGGGTCGGCCATTCCGAGAGGGAATTCGTGAGAACTCAGCTCTCTGGTGGGGCCTTGTTGGCGCAAGCGCCGTGGCTTTCTCCGGTGCTACAGACTTTATGCCTGAGTTGAATCGATGGCTACAAATTGTTGAGATGGAAAATTCTGTGCGTCTTGTTTTGCGATCTTCGAGTAGGAATAGCTGATGCGTCGTATAGTTCAAATTCCAGCTGACATCAATGATGATCATCGACTTTGCTGGCTGCTGGGCTGTCGAAAAGATTTGCAAACGTCTCTTCGCCGACCTCGAACCTAAACCCATGATTACTCGTGGTCGCGAACGCAGAGAGGCGCGTAGACGTATAGAAGAAGCTGAACAGGCTGCCACAGCTGCTGTAGCGGCAGCGGCAGCAGCCGAGAGCCTGGCAGAGAAAAAGGCTCAGTAGTAGATTTTCTTAGCTGTCCTAGTCATCACAATTTAGACTCATCATTTGACAGTCTCTAGCGATTATCTTCCCCGTCAAACTTTCAAGCTTCAAGGTTGGGTTTCCTTGGCATTATGTTTGTCACCATTGGACGGATCGGATTTATTGTTGCCACCATCAACCAGTGGCCTATCCTTAATTTCAATTTGATGCATTGACTTTACCAGGGTTGTGTATTTTTTGTGGGGAAGAAGTCCATCACACGGCTTCTTGACGGTGTGTAGCACGTGAAGCACATTTTAGACGTTGCGGGGTACTAATATTACCAGGTTTAGTTATTTTTATCACGACATTTATCCGATATGTCGCTGTGCGGCAATGGTCAAGTGAGAGCTGTCAGAACCTAAATACTTGGTCATAGTCACGAGCTATGTTGCTGATTCCGAGTTGACTCCGTTTCTCTGGCCCTGAACAATGTCCTCTTGTTGGTCCATAACATTTCTCCTCCATTTCTGTGTATGAAAGGGGAAACGGGTCTGAATGCCCTGGTGCCATTCTTGCCATAGCGGAAATTTCTCGCATCCTCTTCTATAGTTGGGAATACCTTTTAAGCCATCCGGTGACACTGTCATTCGATTGCAGCCTTCCTCAGAGACATGCTCTTGCGACTAGCTGTCGGCGTTCTTACGCTGGTTGGACCAGGTAAGTGACAAAAGTCTTCTTGTCTTAGGTTTCTAACCCCCTCCATTTTCACAGCTTTCTCACAGTTAGGAACAGCTTATACTGATCCAGACAATGGCATTACATTCTGGGGATTAACTGATGCTGTGCATGGAGTCACCTTTGGCTATGTCTTCCCTCCTCTAGCAGACAACTCCACTGAGTTTATTGGTGAAATTGTCGCCCCCATCGCTACCGAATGGGCCGGTGTTTCCCCGACTGGCACCATGCTTCAGAGTTTGCTTCTAGTTGCATGGGCAAATGGCAACTCGATTGTACGCTCGGCGAGATATGCTACGTTCGTATTATTATTGATTTTTTATACTCTTTCCTTTTTGATGCCTCCCCGTCTAGTGACTACGTTCAACCCGTGTATGCTATCGCCCTCTGTATTATCTTCGGAAACGCTCTTACATTACTTCAAGTGCATTCTCCCAGCCCATCCTCACAGACCTTCCTTCAACTAAAGTCAACTCTACACACTGGAAATGGGTTTATCGCTGCCAAAACTGCGTCTGTAGGTATATGCATTGCTTATGATGTTCAATGTCTCATTGCATGACGCAGCCTGGCCAACCACGACTGGTGGCACGAATAGTATTCCCATCAGCAGTTTCGGTGCTCCCGCTTGGACTTTCTCCAGCGTTCCTGTCGACGATCCGTCGGACCCCAATAGTACATTCCAGGAACACACTGACTGTAAGCACTGGTCAGACTTTTCTTCAGCTTATGACTGACCACGCCACAGTTGGTTTCTATGGCTTGGATTTCTCCTCGGCGCATGTTGACCACGACACCTATATAAACTGGGCAAATGGCGGCACAGGTGGACCAGCAACCCCTACGACCACGACAACCTCAACGACACCCACTTCTACGCCGACTGTCACCGTAAGTGTAACGTCCACAACCATAACGCGAATACTCATGGCTATCCAGGCAACTCCCTATGACTACATTGTCGTCGGTGCCGGTCCAGGTGGCCTAGTCACTGCAGATCGCCTTTCTGAAGCGGGGAAGAAGGTATTACTCCTCGAACGTGGAGGACCTGCTACCTGGGAGACCGGTGGCACATATGGGCCTACCTGGGCCGCAGGTCATAACGTATGTCTAATTTGCTCTGCTCAGTGCTCTAAAAGTGAACACATCTTACTTCTTAGTTGACCAAATTCGATATTCCCGGTTTATTTGGTACATCCGTTTTCTAGTGAATCTGGATCCGAATGTCTTTTTTCATCTTTCACTCGTTCTAGAAACCATGTTCACGGATAGCAACCCGTTCTGGTGGTGCAAAGGTAAGCTTAGTCCCCTTTTCCAGAAGATGTTAATTGCTGAATCCGAATAGATATCACAGTGTTCGCAGGATGCCTTCTTGGTGGCGGAACTACAATCAATGGAGCGTGAGTGAACCTAGTTAATTTCCGGTTCTATACTTGATCCGACAATAGTCTTTACTGGGTTCCCCCTTACTCGGATTTCGCAACGTCATCAGGATGGCCCGCCTCTTGGGGCAATCACTCTCCATACACCAATAAAGTGCTGGCTCGCCTTCCGAGCACGGATGCACCATCTACAGATGGAAAACGCTATTTAGAACAGTCTGCCAACGTTGCTGCACAGCTTCTCAATTATCAAGGATATCGTCAACTGACCATCAACGACCACCCCGACGACAAGGAACATGCTTATGGTTATAGTTCATTCGACGTGAGCCTCTTTATAAGGAGAACTACAACTGGTATTTACTTCGCCTAGTTCATAGGAGGGAAGCGAGGGGGCCCAGTGGCGACCTACTATAAGAGTGCGAAAGCTCGCCCCAACTTCACGTACAGGCAATATGCTTATGTCCAAAACCTTGTTCGCAACGGCTCCCAGATCTCGGGTGTACAGACCAATGACACTTCCCTTGGTCCCGACGGAATCATTCCTCTCAATCCCAATGGTCGAATTGTTCTATCTGCTGGAACGTTCGGCACTTCCCGTATCCTCTTTCGTAGTGGTATTGGCCCGACTGATATGATTACCCTTGCTAAAAATGACGCAACCGCGGGCCCCAGACTTCCTCTTCAATCACAGTGGATTAATCTACCTGTTGGTTACAATGTAAGTAGCTTTCCTTGTGTCAGATTCTGAACTCATCGTGATTTCAGGTCTCGGACAATCCTTCAATCAACGTCAGTCACGGATATTCTATGTACTCTTACATTTGTGTGAACTTAAACGTCTTCCACAAACAGCTGGTCTTCACTCACCCCTCCATCGATGCATATGATAATTGGGCTCAAGTCTGGAGTAATCCTCGTCCCGCGGACGTTGCGCAATATCTTAAGGATTTCAGCGGTGTCCTTGCCTCGTCCTCCCCCAGGTAATGGTTCCTCTTGCGATGAACTCCATGTTTCGAACCATTTGTATCCAGGCTTAACTTCTGGCGTGCCCTTTCTGGGACTGATGGCAAGACACGTTGGGTATGTTCTTGATTCTGACAATCTAAACGAAATCACGTACAAGCGGTTGTACAGGTACAAGGTACAGTCCGCCCCGGTGCCGCCTCCGTGACCACCGTATACCCTTACAACATAAGGTTCGTGATGTTTTTTGACTGACGAAGAGGCATCTTGTTGATTTTCAGCCACAGCCAAATCTTCACCATCACTCTTTACCTGTAAGCTCATTGTAGAATGGCGCAATACCTTCGATACTAATCTCCGCCAAGATCGACTGGTATCACCTCCCGCGGCCGTGTTGGCATCGACGCAGCGATGACGGCGCGACCTTTGGTCAATCCTTGGTTCACTGACCCCGTGGACAAGGCTGTCCTGGTCCAGGCTATCAACGACCTCATCCTTAACGTAAATAACAGTATGTCTGGACTTTGCTGTCGAGATCAGCGACGGCTGAATTGTGCTCCAGTCCCGGGATTGACGCTTATTACTCCGGATAATACCACTACAGTTACTGACTATGGTATGTCGATTTGCAACTCGTTGCGATCAAAACCCTCACATTGTTTCGCAGTAAACGACTATGATCCAGTGAGGCTTGAGCTGAAACATGTTTTGCGCTTGCTTAATTCTGCCATACCAGGGATCTCTGTGCTCCAACCACTGGGTCGGGTCTGCCAGCATTGGTTCAGTAGTGGACGAGAACGCGAAGGTGTTCAACACGGATAACCTCTTCGTTGTCGATGTGCGTCCAAATCTTTGTGACATTTATCAATATCCTAATTTGTTTACTCGTAGGCTTCGGTCGTACGTTTTTCGCGGCTCACATCCTGCTTTTAGCTGATCTTTTCCAGGTCCCACAATTACCTATGGGTAACCCTCACGGTATGATCATGTCCATGGCGGAGCAGGCAGTAACAAGGATCTTGGCTCTGGCTGGAGGACCATGAGTAGGCAAGATTTGAAATTGAAGGTGGACAGTTGTATTCACATTAGTTTCACCCTACTATAGTAAAAGAAAGAATACTGTCTCTTGGTATTGCAGAAGAGTTTTTAAGAGTCATGACATAATGTTAGAAATCAAGAGACAAGCATTAATGGGGTAGTGGTAACCTGGGTCGTTGCCATTGGAGAGTGATTTCGACCCGCCGGGGGTTCGATTCCCCCTTAATGCACTGCTTTTGAAGTTTACATCTCAGTCATGACTGAAACTTTTGTCCATTTTGACCATACGCATTGGACCTATGAAATGCATCTATTATCTACTGTAATCGGATCGATACAACGGGAGACGCAATTCAAATCAAGTCACAAGGGGGACAAGGGGACCAGTCACTCCGTGCATACTAAAGTGGTCTGATCCATTTCCCTCGGCAGATTCTATGCGTGGCCAATAAATACAAATTTGAGTTATCGCTTCCTCTTTATCCCACCTTCAACACCCATGTCCTCCAAAGCTGCTCGCCGCGCCAAATTCGAAGATGTCTTTCGGGTCATCCGTGACGAGCTCGTAGACAACTGCAGGAAGGAGGGCCTTCCTGTCGAGGCTCTTGAGTGGTATCGCGCCGTATGTTCTTCATCTCTGTAGTACGCGAGATCTTCTCTTACGACACCTGAACAGAATCTCGATTATAATGTTCCCGGAGGCAAGCTTAATCGTGGTCTATCTGTTATTGATACAGCAGAGATCCTGCTAGGCCGACCCTTGTCCGAGGACGAGTATACCAAGGCAGCGGTCTTGGGTTGGACTGTTGAACTGGTGAGCTTACCTTTTTCGAAGTAGGAGAATAATTTCTACAACTTTCCAATCTCAGTTACAAGCTTATTTCCTCGTCGCTGATGATATCATGGATTCATCTATCACTCGTCGAGGCCAGCCATGCTGGTATCTCTCACCCGCACCCGCTGTTACTGCCCCCTCATCCGAATCGATTACAACCTCTGCGCACAGGCATCCTGCCGTGGGCATGGTGGCAATCAACGATGCCTTTATGCTTAATTCTGCAATCTATTATCTACTCAGGAACCATTTCAAGTCTCATCCACGGTACATTGACCTCGTGGATATCTTCCATGATATCACTTACAAGACCGAAATGGGTCAACTTGTCGACCTCGTCACTGCTCCTGAGGGTGTTGTTGATCTGGCTCGCTTCTCACTCGAAAGGCATCGTCTCATCGTCACGTACAAGACAGCTTATTACTCCTTCCATCTTCCTGTCGCTCTCGCGATGCTCATGTGCAACATCCCGGAGACCTATAGTGTACAACACGCCAAATCAACTACAACGCTCAAACCGTACGATCTTGCGCTCTCGATTCTCATTCCCCTTGGGGAGTACTTTCAAGTTCAGGATGATTTTCTCGACTTTTCCGCACCTCCGGAGGTTCTCGGAAAGATTGGCACTGATATCGTCGATAACAAGTGCTCGTGGTGTGTCAACACTGTCATGGGCATCTGCACTCCCGAACAGCGACTCATTCTCGATCGCAATTATGGTCGGAAAGGTGACATCGAGGCTGGGGCTGAGGGCGCAGACACGGAACAGAAAGCACAGGGAAACGATGGTGAGGCAGGTGGTCTTTGTGAAAAACGCGTCAAGGAGCTCTATGAAGCCGTTGGTCTTCGCAAGGTCTATGCCGAGTATGAGACTGGTGTCTACAAGCGCCTCAACGAACTGATCGACAGCATACCGGAGGAGGGCGTGATTATTGATGAAAATGGACAGAAGGCACAAGAACATCCTGGAATGAAGCGTGAAGTGTTCAGGAGTTTCCTGGAGAAGATCTACGGAAGAAGCAAGTAAGATACTGCATTATTCGGAGTTATTATCAAGATCGGTTGCTTGAATCACGCTCATGTTCTAAGCTACCTTGTACTTTTGAGTGGTATGATACATTCGTGCCCTATCCAGCATCCGTCCCGGCAAGTTGCCTCAAGATTAGGCTGTGAAAGAGACAGTGCAAGATATTATTCAGTGCTTTGCATGTCTTCGAGGACGGACTCGTCATGGTCTAGACAAAGTCTTGTAAATGTAGCCCATCGCCTTCAAGGACGGAACTGAGGTTTTTGAGCGTTAATCCTATTCGGCGATCCGTCACGCGCTCCTTTGAAAATATGTTATCAGCATACTTGCTCGTGTTGCAGACAAGAACAAGAGAGTGTAGAGACGCGACGTACCCTGAGCGAAATTGTGTGCGAAGTTTCTCACTCCTGTCCGCGGTACGCACGATGCTTCGGTGTGTGGCGCGTCGTTCGGCGATTTCGCGTGTGAGAAATTATTGACTTGCAGACGAGAAGACCGTAGAAGAGAAAATATGACAACATAGAACAAACAAACCGTCATTCCTCGATACGCGCGCCGGATAAACATTACAATGTCACGTGTCAATTTTTTTTGGGCAAACGCGCGCCAACTTTTTGTAATTCTATGTTAAGGGTGCTCAACTTGCCCATTCTGCTGTCTGAGGCACATGAGGCAGACCTTTCTCCTTCAGCTTGGATATGATGTTGTACACCAAGTACTACCAACGTCCCGAACCAGGGTCCTACACCCGAGACGCTTCGGAACTCTGCATTGCAAAACAATAACTAACCCACTTGGCTCGAGGGTAAGTTCACTCTTCTAGAAGTCTGGTACAGTGTCAGAACCTGACAATGAACGCGCATCTCGCAAGCCGATTTCGAATCATTCCACTCGTCCAGGTATTGAAACCGGACTACACCGCAAGAAGGAAAGACAAAGGATAATTTACGAGTTGAACGACGCTTTGCTCGATCGCTGGGGATCCAAAAGACTCAGTTTGGTGGACGTGAGCATGTCTAAGTACTGCTGGTCTTGCAATCCTGCACCCATCGAGCTGGTCATGCTGGTAAGGTTTTCTCGCTTCATTGATCCCTACCAGGCCTCGACACCCTTTCTTACAGGATAACGAGATCAAAGCGACCAGCATCTACTCACCTCCGCCCCCTGAGCTTATTTGGGATCCTTACGAGCCCCAGATCAGCTCCAATCCAATCCACAGCCCAAGGTACTTGCTCTCATGTGCTGAATTTCGTCCCTACGACAGTTCTAATGCTATGAAGCTCGGTGGTCTTTGCACTACAGCAGCTGGGGTACGATGGTGGGTTCTATGACCCACAGGCTGCGCGTCGCAGGGCCAAGGAGAACGTTGATCGGACATCGACGCTGTCTACGACCGCCGATTGGCTAGCTTACCCCTATGTAGTTAAAGAAGGCGAAATAGTTGAAGAAGGCGAACATCCCCATGTCGCTCAACTCCACATCACTTCGAGAAGAGGCTATCGATTTACAACTCCTGTTATCCTGACATTGCCATCCCCCTATGTGCTACCTCGATTTTCTCTCTTTAAGCAACTATTCCGAGAGCGATATGCGCAACAACTGCTATCCAGTGTTTGGAGGTGGAAGCACTTCCAAGAACTGAACCAGTTCACCCCCACTGCAATAACTATCATGACGGGATATTTTCTTCAGGTAACTTGACATTCTATCTGCCCATTCTTTGACTCATCACTTCCAGAGAACTCAAGATCCTCTTCCTATTATGTCTCCTGAAAGTTCTTTTGCTAGCTTCCTCAGGTTAGTGACGTTGGAATCGCTATACAAGAAGTGTGCTTATTACCAACAAAGCTACTGGAGTTCCGTTAACGAGATGCACAAAGATATAATAATCTCAGTCTGCGACCCCAAACAACTTCTGCAATCACCCCCCACGCGGCGGACGTCAAATTTCTCAGATTCTGGCAGAGAGTCCGCTATAATCACTGAACCGTCGTTTGGGCAGCCTCAGCCGATATATTGGGGGTCCCACCCTTTGATCATCCGGGATCCATATGCAATCACGCAGGTAATGGTCGTTATTTGATCAGACAGGCTTCTATGCTCAACTTGGCTCAATAGAATCACGCTGAAGGCGTCTCAATGAAGCAATTGAATCGCTTTGCAAGCAGTTGCCAGGATACTCTCAAAAGAATGAATGCGGGCGAGATTACGATCTTCGCCGAGTCCAAAGCAATGGAAAAAACTAGAGGGGAGCTACTACCGTACGTAGATTATCACCGTCGGCGGGAACAAACGAGCTTTCTAGCTTTCGAAACGTGTCTCAACGACCTGTATCGTGAAATCAAAACCGAGAATTTGGCCCCTTCACCCCTCGAAACGGCCGATTCCAATATGTCCCCGACGTCGTGGGATTTGCTGGTATCAGCGTCGGGTGGTGTAAGGAACAATGAAGACGAGGATTTGATCCTTAGCAGCCAGCGATCCGACAAAAAGGTCTATCATCAACAAACGAACGAACGAGGGTCGGCTCACGAAATGTGCCTCGAAGCGGAGAATTTAGCGCGTTCACTCGTCGAAGCGGCTAGGTCAAACGTGTTGCCGATGTCAACTTCGACGCTAACAAAGGTGATCCCGCAAGAGGAGAAATTCGAGCGTTCACCCGTCGAAGCGGCCAAGTCAAATGTGCCGCCGATATCGTTAACTTCGACGCCAACAACGCCGAGCGAAAATGGGGCAAAGGAGGAGGACGGGAGCTTTGACAGTCAGCCGTTCGACCACGAGTACCATCCTGCGAAGACACTTTCCCAGCCTGACAAGATCCCATGCGATGATCCGACATCTAACAATAGGGATTCCTCCGCGTTTATTGATTCCGTACCATACATTTCCGGTCTTGAAGACCAGGAAGCCGCCTTTGTAGATCGAATTGCACATCGGGACCTTCTTCCTCTCGCGGCGCACCGATCTGATGGAGAGCAGCAACCAGATTACCTCCCCGGATACGAGGAATACGAAGCGGCCTTTGTAGACGAAGCCTTTGCTGCCGCATTGTCTTCACCATCATCGTATCTACTTGTCCCACTCTCCCTCATACCCTTGAAGGTCCCAGCCAAGCAGAAGAAAACAACAAAGGCCGTCTCCAGTCCTGAACAAATCGAGCTCGATATCAATACATTGGCCCTGGTCAGGTCCGCGGACGTGGATCCTGATGTGGAAACGGAGGATATTGCTTTCCTTACCCAGGTCAGTCCTTTCGCGTTTATTGTTCAGATGATAAAATTGAATGTTCAGATTATGGCAAACGCTGCCGTGGCAGAAGGAAATCAGCGTCGAGTGTTGAACAAAATGCGGGATGTGCTCAAGGAAAA